GAACTCAGCAGTAAAACATGCCGCTCTGTGAGGTGGAGCCGTAAGGGACAGTTGCTGGTGTAAGTGCAGAGACGTCCATGATCCAGGCTGGCTGAAGCTGGGGCAGATTGTGATGACAGGATCCTGGTGGGGCTGCTGTATCTCTCTGTCATGAAATAATTTTTTTTTTTTTAAGAAAGAAAAAAAGTATCATAAAAGTCCTTCCTTCCTCCATATGTCCCAAGGTCTGAGGCATTCCCTCCTCAGATTTGTGGTTCTTCTTTCACCTCTCCACAAACTCATTGTATCCATCCAGTAGCGATAACCTCACTGTTTTTCCAATCATCCCCTATTCACACCAAGCCCTTTTGCGAAGGGGGTCAGTTGCAAAAGGGAAAGGACATTTTAACCAAGCATGCAGGGACTGTGCGTGTCCCCGGACTTGGGCCAGCTCAGGCTACTGTGGGAGAACTCAGTGAGCAGAGCACTCAGCCAAATGTTCCTCACCCCTATGATCTAGGACCATGTCCATCCAAGGGGAGGCTGCAGGTGGCTCAACCAGAACTGAGTCTGACTCTGGTAGGCTTTTGGTCAGGCCATCTGGAGGGGATACCCAGCTGGCCTAGTGTGGCCATTAAGGGCAGAATGAAACAGCCTACCTAAAATGGTCAGAGCAGAATCCCACATTTACAAACTACTTCTGTTTAACTTGTCAACCCTTTTGTTCAGGACATGACCCAAGAGCAGCTGAGAGGAGATGATCCTGTTTGGAGGGAGGGCAGCATTCAGTGACCAACCTGCTTGACTAACTCGTGTGAACCAGGAGAAGGTGAGGTAGGTAGTCAGAAGTATCTATTTTAAATTAAAACTTATTTTGAGGTAATTGTAGATGCACATGCAGTTGTAAGAAACAATAGACAATAGATGGCATAGTGGTTGCGATGCTGGACTTCCACACGGCCAACCACGGTTCAAGTCTCAGACCTGGTGGCTTGCTTTCTCACTTCCCTTTCTCTCTCTGCTTATCTCTCTCTGGTTGAATTAAAATAATAATAATGACAAATAAAGCTAAATAAGTAAAAAAAAACAAAAACAAAAACAATAGAGAGTGATCCTGTGTACCTATTGGTGTTTTCCTTAATGATAGTGTTTTGCAGAATTATAGTACAATATCCTGACCTTATTCCACAGATACAATCACGCTGCAGAATGTTTTTATCAAGATGGGATCCCTCATGTTGCGCTTCTATGTCATGCTCACTTTCCTCTCACCGCATCCATTCCTTAACTCTTCTTCTCTGCTCTCCATGTGTATAATTTCATCATTTCAAGAGTGTTCTATAAATAGAATCACTAAGTACTTGTGGAAAGCATACCAACAGACTTTCATGTTAAGTATAATGTTAGCTGTAGGTTTTTTTTTTTTTTTTTTTTTTTTTGGAGAGGTTTTTTGCTATAGGGCATGTGCACTCACCAGAAAGAGACAGAGAAACAGAAAGCGAGAAATCACACCCCAGAGAGGATCGTCATGCCGCAATCTTTTCTCCTCTATTCTCCTCTCGGGATCTTGGGTATGCACGCACATGTGCCTGGTGTGAGTTTAAGCCACTGGGTCTGGGACTTGAACTGCAGTCGACTGACTACATGAGAGTCCAGTGACATAACCATCACACCAACTGCTGGTCCCAGCTGTAGGTTTTTTAAAGGTGCTCTTCACCAAAGAATGATTGTTCTTCTCTACTACTTTTTCTACGCATTTTTATGGTGCTGAATTTTTGGCAAGTGGTTGTTCTACACTGATATTTTCATGTAATTCTTCTTTGTGCTGTTAATATTATGGCTTGCAGTGGTTGAGTTTTGAACAGTGATTGAGCCTTGTATCCCTGGAAAAAATCCACATGGTCACGGTACATACTTATTTTGATTTATTACTAAATTTGTTTGCTAATATTTTGTTAGGGAGGATGATTCCTATTGTCCTTGGTGTGGGTGCGAGTGGGGCCATGGTTTTTTCTGTGACGTTTGGCTGGAGTAGAATCACCACTGTCCATAAGTTGTTGGGTTTTGTTTGTTTATTTGTTTGTTTTTACCTTTTTACACTGCCCCTTTCCCAGTCAGTGGCTAGAGAGCAGGCTTCGTAGGGACTTTTTTTTTTTTTTTTTTTTTGAGAGATTTTCGCTATAGGGTGTGTGCGCTGGCCAGACAGACAGAGAGAGACATAGAGACAGAAAGCGAGAAATCACCCCCCAGGGGGGATGGTCACGCCGCAATCCCTTCTCCATTCTCCTCTCGGGATCTTGGGGCATGCACGCACACATGCCTGGCGTGAGTTTTAAGCCATCGGGTCTGGGACGCAAACCGCGGTCGACTACGTGGGAGTCCAGTGACATAGCCATTACGCTAACTGCTGGTTCCCGAGACTTTTATGTGTGTATGTGTGTCTGTAACTGTCGACCTTTCTGGGTTACTGGCCTCCTCAGTGCCAAGTCTGGGGCAATGAAACAAAGAGAGGAGCCACATGGTAGCATGACAGTAATGCAACTAGACCCATCTGGAATGGGTCCTGGGTTCACGTCACAGGACCATCTTGAGCACACCGGACATGTATGTGCATGCTTGTGATCAGGTCTGGCTAATACTGGGTGTGATTCACAGCCTGAGGACCCTATAGGAGTGCCTGGATCCCTCCTGCTCTCTCTGAGTATCTCTGACTAAAAAAATAAATAAATACACTTTTTAAAAAAAGAAAAGAAAAAAGAATATCCAGAGAATTCACCATCACGTTATTCCTTGGGTTCTGAGATTTCTAGCTGGCTGCCTTCTCTTGGCCTTTTTATGTTGATAGCTATCTCTACCTATCTATGTATCTATATCTATCTATCTCCAGGATTTTTAGTTGTGCTTTGCAGGACAAATTCTTTCTGTGGGCAGAGTCTCTATTTTTTTCTATGCAGATTTTTTTTTTTTTGAGGTTATTCCTGTAGTCAACAATATCAGACGGCTACTGGTATTAATGAGTGTGGAAGGTTGATCAATATCCTGACTGTCAACTCATTGTTGAGTAGCTTCTATGATAAAATGTACACCATTGTTAGATTACAAATGATCCGGAAAGTCAAACATCTGACGCATTACTTTCAAGGGACTCAAAGATGCTCCTTTGAGGTTTTCTTGACTGCCAGAGGAATAGCATTGAAAATCCACTATATTTTGTTGTAGTCCCGCTTTGCTTGGTGAGTCAGCCCCAAATTTTGGGGGTTTTGTGGGGGTACGATAACATGGCAGTCAGGATCATAGAAACAGAGGTATCTAACTAGCTAATATGGCAGATAGACTCTAGGCTGGCTCCCCCATGTTCTCTAAAACTCTCCTGGGTTTTAGAAACTACAGATGGTCGCAAGGAGCCTAAGATCAGCGTCTAGGAGTTAAGGGCAGTCCCCCAGCTGACATCCAAAGAGAAACTGGGAACTCAGTCCTGTAGTTGCAAAAATATCAGGATTCTGCAAGGAACTGGAAACAGATCCTTCCCCAGTAGAGCTTGCAGATGAGGTTGCAGCCCAGTGAGCACCTTAACTGCAGCCTTGAGAGACCCTGAACAGAGGATTCACTTAAGCCATGCCTAGATTTTGATCTTCAGAAATTGTACAATAATATGAGTGTGCTTTTTCAGGTACTAAATTTGTGGTAATCTGTTACACAACAAATAATGACTATGTCAACCAACAAGGGAGTCATTTTTGCAGTGAAAGCTTTGGGTATCAGAAGGCAGAGGTGCTGACAAAGTTCTGACCCCCACACTGGTGGCAAATTGCAGATGAGTCTAAGTACACATGAGGGAGTACAATAAACATCTGCTTGGAGACATGTGTGGCATGTGGGACAGGCCCCTGGGTCTTGGCATCCTCATGTGAAATTGGAGAGAGTTATAATATCTGCTCCAGAATTAAATATGACAAAGCAGGTAAAAGCTGTTCAGTAAAAGACCTGGCACTTTGTAGGATGGGCAGCCCAGTGAATGTGTCTCTTGTCACCTTAATGTTTTAATGATGTGCAGAGCCCCCCTCCCCCAACAAGGAATCAACCAACCAGTCAACCCCTTAACGATTTTCCCCTTATCAAAGCGTCGTTTAGGGCAGTCCTTTTTCAATTCTCCAAAAAACAAGGCAACACGTCTGTTTCTCCTACAGCCGCTACCAATGTGAAGAACCAAATCTGCCAAGTCTGCCAATCCGCCCCCATACCCACCCAGTGCTCGTCCGCAGCCACATTTCTGGTTAAGAAGATCATCACCGAAGAGTTCGTTAACGTTTTTGCTCCAACAAAAGCGTAGGGTCCCCACAGAGCAGGCTCTCCATGGAGACAGCCGGGAAAGTGAAGTTCCTAGGCGTGGCCTGAACGCCCTTAGGGGGCGTGGGTAGCCCGGATCCCCAGCCTCTTCCATTAGGAAACGCGGGGGGCTTAAGCGAGCGCCAGTCCCTTGAGTCCATCCCCCAAACGGATAGAAACCATGCAGTTTAAACCAACTAGCCTAGCTGCCTAGAACGAGGGGCGTCACAAGGGCTAGGGCAGAGGAAAGCGCACGGTTCGAGCGACCCCCTTTTGGCCGCCCGACCCCCTACCCGGCCCGCGCCGCCACGGAGTGCCACATCAGCGACCGCGCCGCACTTCCAGGTTCCTTTCGAGGACCGAGCGCTAGCCCGGCGGGCGGGGGCGGGCCCGGGGCCCGCC